GCAGCTTTAAGAAGCACATAAGGATGTATCAGATTCATGTTTGTCATTTTTTATTTTGTTTGAACCTTGAAGAGCGTGTTGGTGCAACATTTAGCAATGAAAATCAGATTTGGAGGGAGAGAGCAACCTTTCATAAAAGATCTACTAGAAAAACATCTCTAATCCATTCTTACCTTCACCTTATAATCCTAAACCACATCCTCCTGTAGAAGACATCAATAATACATGACCAGTGTATTTTCACCCTCCTCAGAACCAATCAATCACCGTGCCTGGCCAGTGCTCAGTCCTGTTTCATTTTCCGGTCCACTCTCCTGTACTTTCACTGTATATTCAGGCTGAAGTCCAGTGGAGGGTTGCACCAAGCCAGATGCTTCAACAGAACACGCAGTCAAGGCCAAGACCAAGACATGACATGTGTTTTGAATTTCATCCGAGCTGGATTTAGGCTGGCTCCAAGCAGCGTTGGTCACAGAGCGGGAGCCTAATATTACACTGGACTTCAACAACCGTACAAGATTCCAAAACAGATGTCCTGCTCAGAAGGTCTATATGCGGAGCTGCCAATGGCGGAAAAGGGTGGGAGGTCAGAGGTGACGGGAAATGTTGTCGGCCTCCTGCCAAGCTCATATATCAAGTTCACACCTCTTTTATGTTTTTCGTCTACAACAATAAACACAGAGAGTTTAGGATGACTGCACATGGAGAGGAGATTACTCAGTAAGTGGTTTAAATCTGACTCTAATTCCAAGAAAATTAGCATTAAATACTTTTTGGTGGTGTGTCTGCGAGCTAGGAAAACCATCTGGAATAAATGTTTTTGTTTATCTTAAAGACTGATTTTGTTCCTAAGCAGACTAAGTCATTAGGAAGTTTATACAAATTCAAATGTAGATGTAAGGTCATGCTAATAAATTCTGTAACATGAGTTTATATAAAACAATCAGGCCACAGCCATGTGTCGTAGGTGTGACGCTGATATGATTAAAACGGAAGTAAAAATCAACATTTGAGCACGACTTTATTGAAATACTCAGATTTTTCTAATGAAAACAATAATGCTTGTTGGTCATAAACCCTTTATAGCCTGAAATATCAAAACCTAATCAAGTTGTTAAACTACTTATTCCCCAGTGTGCATATTTCAACTATATAATAATCCGTTCTGTTATCATAAAATTAACATTTAACAGGATTAAAGAAATAAAATTGGCCCTTGCAACCTATTGGTCCTCCGCTAGGGGGCAGTGGACACATACAGCACTGGATATGGCAGGTTTCTAATGAAGGTACCAATGCTGATGCTTTAAAACCAGAAGGGCTTTGATGAGGATTTTCATGATAATCTACAAGGGGTTATGCAAAATGTGTTTTGATGAGGAAAAAAGACCAAAACATGACCACCAACAAACCGGACTTTCAGGAGAAATTAGAAAAAGAAAACAAAAACAAAACAATGACGAAGTAGAGGTCGGATCCATCGTGCTGTGTTGATCAGTGAAACGCTTCCTCAAAATCCATTTATTCTGGGATTGTTGTTGGTTTTGTTTCCATGCAATGTTGTTATTATATATGTTTACATGTGTGTGTGTGTGTGTGTGTGTGTGTGTGCGTGCGTGCGTGCGTGCGTGCGCGCGCGTGCGTGCGTGCGTGCGTGCGTGCGTGCGTGCGTGCGTGCGTGTGTGTGTGTGTGTGTGTGTGCGTGCGTGTGCGTGTGCGTGTGTGTGTGTGGGCAAACAAAACCTAAAATAAATAATACTAATAATAAAACTCATCTTTCCAACAGTATGTTGTAACTTCTGTATAAAAATATCACAGCTGGGTTGTCAAAATTACTTTTTTCTGTTTATGATCCTAAAATGTTTGAATTTTTTGAGTTGTGCTGTTAAGTCCTCTATAGGAAATTTAATGCATTAGTCATTTTATAATATTTATTTATGAATCAGACAATAATTACTTTATTTTCTTTTCCGGTTTCTACTTTTCCGGTTCTTGTAAATTGTCCCCATAAAATCCAGAAATGCCCTTTACAAGTCAAATCCCGTACAAATCCTCCACCCGTGGAGCCCGAGCCGTCCCGTTAGGATGGTGGGGCTTAACGTTTCACTTGGTAGGAGAACCGAGCTTGCTTACAACCAATCAGGTTCTTCGTAGCCTGGTTTCTGGGAACTCTATTGTTATGTTTATATCGGCTATACCTTCTTTCTTCTCATTTCTTGGTAGGCGGGATGAGTTAGTAAGAAAGGAAGGGAAGGGGATAAACTCTGTGCCAGTTCTGAATTAGAATCCAGCTGTTAGAAAATAAGTCTGTGCAAGAATTTGTTTTGTGTTTTTCCTCCACAATGGAGTCAATCAATCAATCAGTCAATCAGGTTTTATTTATGAAGCGCTTTTCAAGCAAAGTGCTTTGCAAAAAGACCCCAAATTCCCATAACAGTTTAAAAACATTAACAGACATCTGCAAACACACACACACACACACACACACACCAGTAAAAATGTATATTCGGCTGAGTCCAGATGAGCCAAGTAAGGTAAGGCAAGGAAACGCCATCAGAGGAACCGTCTGGCCCGGCAGCATTAAGGTTGGTTTATGCTTGACGCGTCCGCGAGGTCCGCGCGGGAAAGTTGCGTCATTTTGCGTCATTTTAACAACCACGCCCCTCCACCGCGTCTCCGCACGGCTCAAGATTTCCGCAACGCGCACCTCGGAAAATTTCTAACCACGCGGACGGACGGACGCGGAAAAACATGGCGGACCAGCAAGAACTAGTATGGCAGAGGTTGGTAAATACAGACTTTTGTATGATTCAGCTCTCAGAGATCACCGTGATCAACATGTTGTTAATAATTCTTGGAGAGAAATAGCTCGCACTGTCGGAAAAGACGAGGACGCTGTTAAAAATGCTGAAATGCCATGTTGTAAACAGTAATTTCTACTTCTACTATGGTGTAGTGATGGATGCATGCTGTAGAGCTCCATGCTGCCCCCTACAGTTTGGGAGAATATTGTCTCACCGCAGAGACGAGCCGCACGAACCATAAACGCTGCGAGTTGTGAAGCGCGTTCCATCCGCGAGCCGCATCACCGCGCGGAAAGTGAATACGTCAAGCATAAACCAAGCTTTAGGTCTTCCACACAAAGTCAGGGCGCTCAGAGGAGGGGGAGCATAGACCCCCACCTCCACTTAAACACTACCTATAGAGCGCCCAGGAAGCAACAGTCGACCACCGCCCCTGGGGCAGAGGGCCCCTACAGAGAAAACACTGGATGAAAATGAGTTAAAATATGAAAATAAAAGAGCTAATATAAATGACAAAAGTAAGAAAATAAGAAATAAATCAAATAATATAGACAGTAAAATAATAATCAGAGCATATAGTTGATTTAAGTTATCCTGAAACTTCCTGTAACCCAGAAATCTGTTCATGGGTGAATCAGTGAGCGAGACGCGAGAGTCCACCTATCAGTGGAGGGGTATTACCAAAGAGCCTCTTCACCTTCTTTTCACAAAGCAAAGAGGCTCTTCAGAAGCAACACATCTGTTCTGGGGTCCCCTGGTGCAACGCACGACTAATTAAGGGATCAAGGAAAAGTTGGCGCACCCCCCAACACAGCGGTACACGGTTCTATTTAATTACAACAAATCACTGCAGATTTAATTGAACCTCGGTGTACAACGCGTTTTCCTCACACGGAGCGTGCATGTAATTCATCAAAAGGAACGCAGCGCTCAGAGTGGTACAGTATCATGGGAATGATGCACTTAGGCAGGCTTATGTGCACCTAACGTCAGGACTTTTAGAGAGAATACAGTTTCCATCTCAGGAGTGCGTTCGCTGAGATGGCAACACGAAGCAGGCTCACGTCCAGTATCAGTCACGCTTCGTTTATGAGGCATCTGACACATGATCTGTAGACCTCCCTAAGAGAGAAACAACAACACCGGCAGCAGCCAGTAATGTCAGGGAGAATGTCACGCGCAGCCCGCCCCTGAAAAGGCCACAGCTCTCGGAGACCAAGCGCTCCAGGTGGATGGAGAACAAGGGTTCACGTGAAAGGAAAGAAGCTGAAGTGGTGAAAAACAAAGTGAGGCTATTGTTTTCCGGCCCGCTCTCACAAGAGCCCTGGCAGCTGATGGTGAGAACGCATGCAAGTGTTGTAGCCCCGCGGTGGGATTTCCCTCTAACAAACACACGACGGCACTGGCAGGCAGACAGCTGTACTTGTCTAAACAATGGCACGGAAAGACGGCCCGGTCCAAGGAGCTCCCACGCATAATGCTCCGTCCACTGTGTGGCAAACGCAGAAACAGCTGGAGGACAGCTGCTGGAGCGGAACGGGCCACGGCTTCACTCGAGGAGAGGCTGAAATATATGAAACACTTGAGGAGGAGGAAAGTCGCCCTGACCCAACTTTAATAAATACCTATAATTCACGCACAATGTGTCATGGTGGGAAAACTGGCATAAAACTATAGTGACCATACCAGTAAAGTGGCTTCATAACTCACCAGTTTTAGGCCGTTAACACACTTATACAGTGTTTACATGAATTCAGAGTATGGATCATGAGTAAATACTGTCTGTTTATAGAGGAGTTGCTTAAATTAAAGACCTGTGTTCTTAGGAAAGTCTTCAAAATCAGGAAAAGCGTGCAAAAAAGGCCAAATGTATCAGTGCGGCATGGTCTAAAAGCTGCACCTCCTGTGGATCTGGACAAATTTGACTCTGTATCCAAAGTCCTTCTGGTGATTTCATCAGACAGTGACAGGAGGAAATTGAACAGTGGGCCCCATGTTGGGATGATGGCTTATGGTCCAGCTAATTGATGCGCAAGCATCCCAGATTGTTTAATTGGAAAAATTCATCAAAAACAAATAAAATGAGCTGAAATGAAATTTCTGGAAGAACTGGTTTGTTTTGCGACTGTAAGAAACTAGAAAGTTGAAACAGAAGATGACAACAACCCATATAATGTGTTTTAATAATAAACTCACATGAACGCATGGTAGATGAATGCCCATCCTCTCGGCCTCTCCAGCACGTTGTACAAGCAGTTTTGTAACTTTCTCAGACGCTTGCTGGAGGCGGACACGTTGCCTCGGGGACCGGGTGGTCCGGGCAGCGGGGTGCCCAGCAGACCCGTGCGGTGAGACGGGTGTCCGCGCTCCGGCGTGGACGGCTCGCTCCTCTCCGTCTGGACAGCGGTGAGAGCCACAAACTCTACCCGTCGCTCGTCGTTCGGAGCCGGGGGCACAAGCATCCTGATGCCGCCGTTGTTGGATGGACTTCCGAGCATTTTTTCTTCTTCTTCAGACTGAACTATACGACTTTCTCTGCAAGTCACATCTGATTCAGGTTGGCACCATCCCTGCAGGTTGATTGGTCAAAGCTTCAAAAGTTATCTGTAAATCAAGTCGCGGTCGCAAAAGGCAAAAAGCGCAAAATGTGGGTGGGTGCGTGGCGCCGAAACGTGACCCTCAGAGACCATAGCTGAGAGTCAGGTGGGAGAGGTGATCCGCGGGATGCAGAGAAGTAATCACACATGCGTTAACTCTAGAACTAGAAAAGTGAGCCGCGAACGGAGTTATATCGCGCGCTGGGCTCCATCAAGTCAAGCATCCTTACGAAAAGACCACCGCGAGCGCCAAATCCACGCAGCGCGTCTGTTTTGGTCTAACGTCAACTCGAGAGGAGCCCGTTTTTGGGGATCTCAGCTGATTCTGCTGGTTTGAACTGTCGGATCGAGCCTCGCCACATCCGCTAAGCTTCCTCGTGCGTCGGTGCGCGCTCCGGCTCCGGCAGCAGGCGGGGTGGAGCGCAAAAGTGACAAACATCAGTGTGATGTCAAAAACGGCAGACGACCACTTTTAGAAACTCCGTTTAGAAAGGGTGAGAGGAAGGGGTGAATAAGCACCAAGGATGCTGTTTTGTAAACAAAACAAAAACGTGGAAACAGGATGAGGATGGATGCGGGAGAGGGACAGGTCTCTTATTCATGGAGATTTCCAGGAGATGAGACTAAAACGGTTCATTCAAACTATTATTGCTATCACCCGCTATTGGTCACTAAAATCCCTTTCAGCAGCAATACATAAAGATGTACTGAAAATCAGAAAAAGCCTATGTTTCTCCAGATGTTTCAGCTCCTACAGATGTTCAACAGAGGACCCGTGACCTGCACCCAGACCAAGTTTTTGATCCATATGCTGAGCCAGATGCAGCAAAGAAGCTCAAGCCGAGCCTTCTCCTGTCTGTGCTGGTCTTTGCCCAAAGAGCTGACGTGCTTAGCCAAAATCCTCCAATTTTGTCTCCTCTGTCCAAAGGATGTTCTCCCAGGAACTATGTAGACCATCAAACATGGACGTAATATTCACTTTAGAAGTGGGGGGGACACGGGGGGGGGGGGGGTATCTTTACAGTATGTTCTAATGGGAAACAGGCTTCAACACAAATGGATGTTTTCTGCTTGGTTCTAGAGCTCAACCAGTGTCAATTTAATATAAAGTAATATTGTTTTTGGATGGTAAAAAGTGCAGGGGTCAAAACTTGACTTTGGAAAAAGTGTGGGGGGGCATGCCCCCCTGTCCCCCCCCCCCCCCCCCCCCCCCCAAAAAAAATTACGTCCATGCCATCAAACACGCATTTTGGTAAATTTCGGTCTCTCTTTTTCTAAGATCTGCTTTCAACAGAGGTGTCCTCTTCTGTCACAAGGCAGAAGGCCCACAGTGCCATCAGAGATGGCCATGGTTGACCCCACTATCTCTCGCTCAGCTCCAAACCAACCCTCACACAGCAACACACATTATTATGATTTCCTCACATTTAATACCCTTTAAAGTCAAAGTGGGATTCTGGGTAGGGGTAGACCGATATGTCGAGCCAATATTTACTGTTTTTTTATACATCGGCCGACATTTATCCTTACTAAAGCCTCCGGGCAACCCAGTGCTGTTGCACATTCACCAATAACATCTGCGTAATAAACACTCTAAATGAACTTTATTAAAATGTCTTACTTTAACACTGAGAAGTGCACAAAGTTAAGATTTAACAGTTAGTTCAATTGAGAGTTCAAAACTGATTCAGTTTCAGCAATTTTGTGCATCAACCGATGTTATTAGTGACATTTTAGCATTAAAAAAGTTGGAAAAAGTCTAGATATCGGCCATAAAAATCAGCCAATAAAAACCGGCAGTACATCAATTCAATTCAATTCAAGCATTGCTTCTGCCTATTCCTTTTTTTGTTTAAATTCAAATTGTTAATATTGTTTTGTTTGAAAAGAAAAATTTTATGTTAATGCTATAAACCAAAATAAAGACCGAAAGAAAGAAAAAAAATACTTTATTAATCCCAGAGGGAAATTAAACATATCGGCCATCGGAGGACCATGTGTCCTATATAGGCCAGGACCATGGCCGTTTCTCAATATGCATACTTGTGTGTACTTGTGTAGTCACGTCTTTGTGAAATGTCATCAACGATGGTCCACGGACTGTTCCTATCCTAAGTATGCATCATGGCAACTTCGCTCAAAGTTCCCAGATGTGTTCTTGCTCCGCCCATTGTATCGAGGATGCATCAATGCATCCTTCTGCGGACTTGGGACAGCAAAGTTTCCCATAATGCATTTGCGTTGCAAAACGTTCAACTCCAATCATCAGAGGAAAAAGCTAATAACTGTAATGTTTTATATTAGAAATACAAATAAAACAATATAAAGGTGTCTGTTATTGTAAATAATTGTGTGTAACCTGTAAATTTTGCTGTTTGTGTTTGAGTTTTACTCTTCACGTACCCTAAAAATGCTAATTAACTAACCCACTACCAAAATAAAAGCAGAGTAGCTCTGGCCTGATGAAAAATACACTTTTTGTATTCATTACAATGTGGGAAATGCTGCTATTTTATTAGTTTTGATCAAATATAATACAAAATACGTTTTCGTTGTTATTTTGTTATTTAAGGACCAAACTACACTTTTATTTTTATGTCAGGTCATTTTTTTAACCGCAGCAAGAAGAAGCGCTTGTTGCCAGGACACAACGGAGCACGGTTCTGTTCCAAATGCCGTCCTCGTCCTCCCGTACTTGGTAGAACAGACTTTCTGGTGTCCTTGCATAGAACATACTTGTCTAGTACACAAGAACATACTAGCATTCTTGACTATTGAGAAATGGCCCGTGTCTCCTACATGTCGGCCACCGGCTGACCGTGTCTCCTACATGTCGGCCACCGGCTGACCGTGTCTCCTACATGTCGGCCATCGGCTGACCGTGTCTCCTACATATCGGCCATCGGCTGACCGTGTCTCCTACATGTCGGCCACCAGCTGACCGTGTCTCCTACATGTCGGCCATCGGCTGACCGTGTCTCTTACATGTCGGCCATCGGCTGACCGTGTCTCCTACATGTCGGCCATCGGCTGACCATGTCTCCTACATGTCGGCCACCAGCTGACCGTGTCTCTTACATGTCGGCCATCAGCTGACCGTGTCTCCTACATATCAGCCACCGGCTGACCGTGTCTCCTACATGTCGGCCACCAGCTGACCGTGTCTCCTACATATCAGCCACCAGCTGACCGTGTCTCCTACATATCAGCCACCAGCTGACCGTGTCTCCTACATGTCGGCCATCGGCTGACCATGTCTCCTACATGTCGGCCACCAGCTGACCGTGTCTCTTACATGTCGGCCATCAGCTGACCGTGTCTCCTACATATCAGCCACCGGCTGACCGTGTCTCCTACATGTCGGCCACCAGCTGACCGTGTCTCCTACATATCAGCCACCAGCTGACCGTGTCTCCTACATATCAGCCACCAGCTGACCGTGTCTCCTAGATATCAGCCACCAGCTGACCGTGTCTCCTACATATCAGCCACCAGCTGACCGTGTCTCCTAGATATCAGCCACCAGCTGACCGTGTCTCCTACATATCAGCCACCAGCTGACCGTGTCTCCTACATGTCGGCCACCAGCTGACCGTGTCTCCTACATGTCGGCCATCAGCTGACCGTGTCTCCTACATATCAGCCACCAGCTGACCGTGTCTCCTACATATCAGCCACCAGCTGACCGTGTCTCTTACATGTCGGCCATCAGCTGACCGTGTCTCCTACATATCAGCCACCGGCTGACCGTGTCTCCTACATGTCGGCCATCAGCTGACCGTGTCTCCTACATATCAGCCACCAGCTGACCGTGTCTCCTACATATCAGCCACCAGCTGACCGTGTCTCCTACATATCAGCCACCAGCTGACCGTGTCTCCTACATATCAGCCACCAGCTGACCGTGTCTCCTACATATCAGCCACCAGCTGACCGTGTCTCTTACATGTCGGCCATCAGCTGACCGTGTCTCCTACATATCAGCCACCGGCTGACCATGTCTCCTACATGTCGGCCATCAGCTGACCGTGTCTCCTACATGTCGGCCATCAGCTGACCGTGTCTCCTACATGTCGGCCATCAGCTGACCGTGTCTCCTACATATCAGCCACCAGATGACCGTGTCTCCTACATGTCGGCCACCAGATGACCGTGTCTCCTACATATCAGCCACCGGCTGACCGTGTCTCCTACATGTCGGCCATCAGCTGACCGTGTCTCCTACATATCAGCCACCAGATGACCGTGTCTCCTACATGTCGGCCACCAGATGACCGTGTCTCCTACATATCAGCCACCGGCTGACCATGTCTCCTACATGTCGGCCATCAGCTGACCGTGTCTCCTACATGTCGGCCATCAGCTGACCGTGTCTCCTACATGTCGGCCATCAGCTGACCGTGTCTCCTACATATCAGCCACCAGATGACCGTGTCTCCTACATGTCGGCCACCAGATGACCGTGTCTCCTACATATCAGCCACCAGATGACCATGGCTACATGTCTGCATTGATACCGGCAACAGAAAAAGAATATTGGTGGACCTCTTATTCTGAGCGGTGCGATCTGACACAGATGATTTTTGGTTTTTATTCATCCTCTGAACTCATCTGTTTTCCTCTTGTAGCCACATCCATGGATGTCATCTAGTCCTGGACACCTTCTGACTTTCTATGTGCAACTTGCAGATTATTTCAGTTGCCATAGTAGATTTCCCTTTCTGTAACAAGAGGGCACCAAGGATTGTATCTTCGTCTGTAGTTATTCTGAAACTTCAGCTTCAAAACACACTTTCAAATGCTCAAAGTTAACAAGAGTCGTTTTTGAAATAAACAAGTCATTTGTGTTTTTATTGTGGCTACAGCAGTTAGCAACAGCAGGGACAGGTGCTGAGGGACACAGCGACACCGACAACCTCCTCCTGACACACACACACACCACTTTCTAAATCCATGACGGTGACATACTCGGAGGTTTGTGGTTATGACATAAACATGAGGTTATGAAGAACAGAGGATCACCTGTCTCAGGGCCTCAGAAGTATGCATCAAGAGGGGGACCCCCCGACCGGCCGCAATAACACGAGACGACCAAAAATGAGACGGTGAAACACTCTGAGATAAATCTGTGAGCCTTTTCCGTTCCGTACGACTTAAACAACCTAATAAGAAGCTTATTCCAACAGGAGTGTCATCATTCTTTCAAAGTAAATAACAAATTAGCACTTAAATATACCCAATCTTTTTAAACACACAACTATAAAACAGGGAAAAATGTATATTTTTTGATGAACCATTGCATGTAAGACTCACACTGTTCTGTATCAAGAGCAGCGCAGGTTAGTCGTGTTTGCTGCGTCTGCTCCTGCCAATGGTTGTGCAGCAGTTCATGGAACATAAGGTAACCGGAATGACGTGTGGGAATGCAGCTGGAGTTTTTCACAAGTCACAAATCTAGACATTATTCCCAGGACCTTCTCACGTAACAGCATTAATCCCTAAATAGCATTAGTACGAAGTCATGATTGGCTTCAGAATGGAATAAACCGCTGACGTCTCTATGAAAACGTGTTAATGCAGACAAATCAATCAGCTGAAATATTACAAAATGCATCACTTTGTTCTTTTTTTGGTGTTGGTGGCGTCACTTCTGTTTATCGCCAAGGCTGGTAGAAGTGACGCCACCAACACCGGCGAGCTCTGATGACGGCTAGAATCGCTAGCCGAAACATGTCAGTTTCAAGGTAAAACAGCAATTTTTTTTTACTGAGCTGTGTAATAAAAAAGAACTAAGTAATGGATTATGAAGTTGCACACAGAACGAATGTACAAAGTTGTATTACAAAATGGTTTTAAGGATTCATTTTTGGAGATTTTTATGGTGTTTTTTTGTTTCACAAAATATTGTTCATTCTACTGGAAGTAGAAGTGTTGTCGCCAGTCAAAGTGTTAAAAATTAATACATAAAGACATTAAAGCTG